ATAATCCATATTAACTGTATATCATGTAAGAATTCTTTGCAACAGTGCCCACTGAGAAATGATTTCTTAGAACAATAATCAGAAAAAGATCGTTAAGTATTCTTATTTTAAAATATTTTCTAGTAAATGAAAAAAAAGTTTCCGTAAATAATAATAATGAATTTAAAGCTATATTTAGATATTAGAAAATGTCAAGTCCACTGATGAAAATTGTGTCTGATACACAGGCAGAGTTGTGACTCTATTGCATTAGTCACACTTTAAAATTTAATTTCTATATTCAAGATTTGCTCAGCTGAATTGAAAATGAGATATTATCTCATATATTCTGAGCAGGAGGATTCCAGATTAACTAAAATATTTTTCATGGTAAAAATATATGTATAGTTGACTATAAAAATGCACTTATTTGAACTACATTCTATATTGTTTTGAGGAAATCTTTGCAGATCACAGCATAATATTGTAGTTCACCCTGTTCACAACTCTTTAGAATGAAGATGTTTTATTATCAGCTGTAAATTTTTACCAAAAGTATTTCATGAATCAATATTTCTTGAATAAATTTATTTATTCCTGTGTCCATTAAATTTACCATATAGTTAGTATTACTATTATTCTTAAAGAGGAAAACAGATTAACACAAACTTTCTCAACATGAGAAAGTTAACAATGAATAGTTTAACATATTGTAAGTATTGTTTTTTTATCCTCATTGGCCTTTTGTATTATAATTAATGGGATACAATGCTAAAAAGTGCCAAAAAATAAATCATAAATAATTATAAAATTTGTTTAAAAATACATATAGATGTTATGCTTAACTGATATTTAGGTAGCATATAATTTTTATCAGCATGGGCAATTTTTCAGAAGAATTCAGAAAAACTAACAAAAATAATGAGCCAATTTTTTGCCATCACCAATTTCTAAAACAAAATCATCTAAAGTTAAGCTTATCATTATTTCCAATTAATCATTCAAATTTATTAAACTATGCTCCTGCAACATATATAGTTTTATTGTTTGCCTTTGAATATTTCCTACTGTTTTATACCATCTATTTTGCTCTATTACTACCCTTGTGGACAAAAAAGAAGTCACATACTAAACCTGCCAAGCTCAGGGGAGGCCTGTGTGGTGGCCTTGCAAACTCAGAGACTTACCAGTAAAGTCACCATATAGGATAGTCTGAAATTAAAATTTTTCTTCCGACTGGTTGTCAGTGGTTGAGCATCCACCTATGAACCAGGAGGTCACGGTTCGATTCCTGGTTAGGGCACTTGCCCACGTTGAGGGCTCAATCCCCAGTGTGGGGCATACAGGAGGCATCTGATGAATGATTCTCTTTTGTCATTGATGTTTCTCTCTCTCTCTCTCCCTCTCCCTTTCTCTCTGAAATCAATAAAGCTTTCTAAATAAAAGTGAGTTGTAGCAGGTAGTCATGTCCTAGCCAGATATCTTCCCTGACAAAGTTCCATCTTTACCTTAACTGAGCCGGCCTATTTTCTTTTCTTTCTTTCTTTTTTAAAATTTGATTTCAGCTTAATGCTAAACTGGACCCAGCTCCACCAGGGAAGAGAAACAGACACTGGCTTTGGTTCTAGTTCTGCTGAATCCCAGCTACACTTTTTCTAGGACTGGATTAAAAAAAAAAAAAAAGGGACTTTGGAAATCGAAGATTGTAATTCCACACAAATAAAGCTTTCTACCACATCTCATCCTCCCTTGGGGGCCTCTGAAAATCCTTATTCCAGCATTACCTCCCAAATCCCACTCCCATTAGCAATGGAGAAAGACTATCCATACATTTCTCCGATAACAATACCAAACATATTCTCTGACCACAATGTTTTAAAATTAGAAATCAACTGCAAAAAGGAAGTAAGGAATCCACAAATATGTGGACATTAAACAGCATACTACTTAATATGTGGGATATAAAACTGAAACTCATAGATGACAACAACAATATGGTGGTTACCAGAGGGAAGGGGTTAGGGGTAGTAAAGGAAGCCAAATATATGGTGACAAAAGATGGTTACATGAAATTCATTAGTGATAGATGAGGGAGATGGGAGAAGCCAAGAAGGAAAATCTCTGGGATTGGATAAAAAGTAAAACAAATAGACACGTTCTTCTTTCACATTTCTGTGTATAGGATAGTTAACAGTCATCGATTAATATGATAAAAATAACAATAACAATGAGGTATTTGGGTATTTGTGGTCTCTGCTCTGGTGCTTTGGTTGTTCCCTGAGGGGTCTGTAAAATAAAACAGGAAATGACCCTGACCTTTCAAAGGTATGTTATCCAAAAGAAAATAAGCAAGCCCTGTGGCATGGCTCAATGGTTGAGTGTGGGCCTATGAACCAGGAGGTCATGGTTTGATTCCCAGTCAGGGCACATGCTGAAGTCCATTAGTCCATTATGTGCAGGGTCCACATAACAGTGGGCCATGTGGGCTAAGGCAGGATTGTGAGAGGCCTGCGGGCCAGAAGTGCAAACCAAGAAAGCAAGACAGTAAACTCCTTTGTTTAGGAGTGAAAGGAATTTTAGAGACAGTACAGGCAGTTTTAGGGAATAAGGAGGTCCATGGGAGAGGAATGCATATGTGATGGGAAGGAGATATCGCCAAGATGCCAGAATGCTTAGCTTACTTTCATGGAGAATAGAGAAATGTTACAAGAGGAAGGCATACATTCACAGAGGATAGAGGAATGTTGCAAGATAAGGGGAGAGAAAGAGGAGGGCACCAGGTGGGCTTTGACCTTTGAAACTGATAGTCTGCAGAAGAATAACCAATTAGGAAAGCATGGGTGTCATAAATTAAGGAAGCATCCAATTGGAAAGGATCATGTTAACACAAAGAGCTCCCAGAATTTATAAACCGGAGACAAAGAAACTTAAGAGAGGAGTTAGATTTTTTTTTTTTTTTCGAGAGAGAGAGAGAGAGAGAGAGAGAGAGAGGGAGAAAGGCTTTTCCCATTGGGGTTTGTATATGGTATGCTTCCAATAAACTTCCACATTTCTGTTTAAAATATTTTATTCTGCGAATTTATTCTTCAAACTTCCTAGGATAAGAACCCACAAGGAGAATCTGCATGTCCCAAACTCCACGTATCAGGAATTTAAATATCTTATCTTTCTGCCTTGCAGGGGCCACACCTACTCTGGCCAATGAACTGTTCTCAGATGTGACACAGGCAAGTACCTTCCCTATGTGGCCCTGACTTTACTGGGCATGCGTCTAAACCGCAGCTTCCGGCAGAGCTGCACAAATGGCATGCCTTTGTTCCTTTCCTGTTAAGAACTGGGTTCATTACAATGGTATCAATATAATTTCAATCTTCTAGGATTTTTTGAGGCTAGTGTTGTGACCCAACATATAATCTTTCTTTGTGCACTGGAGAAGAATGTATAATCTGATGTTCTGGCATGAATGGCTCTGCAAATGTCAATTATGCCCCATTTGGTCTAATGTGTCTATTAACGTAAAAAAACCATTGAAACCTGTAAAGAATTTTTGGTGAGTTTATTTGAGCCAAACTGTCGACATATGCCGGGAAGCAGAACCTCAACGAATTGAGATAATGCTCCGGAGAATGGCAGGGTTACATTTGTATTTATACATTTCAATCAAAGGAGGAACATAGGTGGGTTACATGAAATTCATTGGTGATAGATTAAGGAGGAGGGATAAAGCAAAGCAGGGAAATCCCTGGGATTGGATAAAAAGTAAAATGATGGACTCATATTTAGGTGGGTACAGGAACAATTAACATGATAAATTAAAGAATCTTCGGCATCTGTCCTGGGCCCAGCACACCTGGCTGTGCCCCAGGGGCTCCATAAAAAGGGAAGTCACAAGTTACCCAGACATCCCAAGGGTATGTTATCATAGATGCAAAAAGACAGATAGGCTCAGTTACGGTAAAGGCTGACCTTGTCAGTGAAGATACTGGCCTAGGACGTAACTGCCCACCATAACTGCTTTTAGTTAAAGTTTAATTTCAGACCATCCTTTGTGGTTACTTTAGGTCTCTGAGTCTGCAAAACTGCTATGCAGGCCTTTCCTGAGCTTGTCAGGTCAGCATGTGGCCCCTTTCGTCCACATGTCTTAAGGACGATATTACTTCGTTGATAATCGGTTTGGATGATCTGTCTATAGCAGTCAATTGAGTATCTAGGTCCCCTATTATGGGTCAGAGAAGTTATCAATGTTTCCATAAAACATTTAAAGTCACGAGAATGTAAACATATGTATTCAATTAAACTAACTTACAAAAATAAATATCTATATCAAACTGATTATTTTTGGTTAACTTTGCTACTTGAAGAGGTGTCTCTATAAAATTGTATGACAAACAAAATATATACAGGAATTGTGATGTGCTAAAATGTTAAGTTTAAAATAATTTTTAGATCCTTTAATCACTTTAAAGATCTGGGGTTATTATTTGAAATGAATTAATTGGCAAATGATCATTGGTTCAGTAAAAAACATTTAAAGAAAACTAAAATTATAGATAAGGAGAAAAGAATAATAGGTCACTATTATTAAGTGCTTTTACTTGTTTTTATAAGTGATACATATATTTTTAAAAATGCCTTTTCTTGTATTATAGTGTAAGATTAATTATATTTTGAAACTAAGTTTGGAAGATTTAAAAAACATTGCCATCTCATATATATTTATTTATTTTGATATTAATTTTATGCATGTATGTATATGTATATATAAATGTGCTTGTAGATATATACTTATATAAGTATGCACATACATATGTTTAAAATAATATTGTAAAATTTAATGATTTTTAATATTTTATATTTAATAGGTAAAAGAGGATGGGTAGTTCAAACTTGACATTAGAATACTTAATCTGCTGTTAATAAGTGGTAGTAAAAAGTTATGATTATCTCAATGAGATACCACCTCATACCCATTTGGATAGTTACTATTTTTAAAAAAGTAGCAAATATCAAGTGTCAGTGAGGATGTGGAGAAAATGGAACCTTTATGCACTTCGTTGAGAATGTAATTGTGTGACTGATGTGGAAAACAATATGTTGGTTACTCAAGAACTTAAAAATAAAATTACTACATGGTCTTGCAATTTCACTTCTAGGTGTATACCAAAAAGACTGAAAGCAGGGTCTTGAAGAAATATTTGTACACACATGATCATAGCAGCAATATTTACTATAGACAAAAGTTGAAAGCAACCCAGGTGTCTAATAGATGAATGAATAAACACAATATACTTCATAGGCAAAGTGAAATAAGTCACTCACCAAAGGATAAGTACTGTATAATCCCACTTATTTGAGGTACCTAGAGTAATAATAGAGACAGAAAGTAGAATGCCAATTGCCAAGGATTGTGATTAGTTTGGAATTTCCCAACTACACATAGAGCAGTGATGGCGAACCTATGACACGCGTGTCAGAGGTGACACGCGAACTCATTTTTTTCGTTGATTTTTCTTTGGTAATTGGCATTTAAATATATAAAATAAATATCAAAAATATAAGTCTTTGTTTTACTATGGTTGCAAATATCAAAAAATTTCTATATGTGACACGGCACCAGAGTTAAGTTAGGGTTTTTCAAAATGCTGACACGCCGAGCTCAAAAGGTTCGCCATCACTGCCATAGGTTAGCAAAATGAAAAACTTTTGGAGATCGGTTTCACAATTTTATGAGCATACTTAATACTACTGAACAGTTATGATGGTAAATTTTATGCTAAGTATATTTTACCAAAATTAAAAAAAATAGTTATTATTTACCTTTAGTATAATTTGCCCAAATAGAAGTTTCTTTTCTCATTATATTTTATTTCAAAATCCTATTGACTTTAAGTTGATATTTATCATGTTTTTAAATTACTTTTTGAAAATTCTGGACAAACGTTTTTCATGTCTGTTGGAGCTGATGTTACTTTTAATGAGACTACTTAACCAAACCATTCACCTCTGCTCCACCTCAATCTTTTTCTATTGTTTCTTTTGCTTTATCTGATATTCAGAAAAATAAAACTGCAGAGTAATATTTTGTTCTCACAAATAGGCTTGTTGTTTCAACCTGTAAACCCTGTAAACCCTGGCGTTGCCCTGAGAAGCAAGAGGAAAATTAATAAGATTTGTGTGTAATTTCTAACTCTTTTTAACCATACAGTCTATTTAACCCATAATGGGATAACTTTTATTTAAAAAATTCAGAAATTGATTATATAAGACAAATCTGTTTTATACAAAAAAATTAAAAATGAAATTTCCATTTGACCCAGCGATCCCACATCTAGGAATATAACCTAAAAAACCCCAAGCTCCAATCAGAAAGAATACTAGTATATGCACTCCTATGTTCATAGCAGTGTTATTTATAATAGTTAAGATTTGGAAACAGTCCTAGAGCCCATCAGTAAATGAATAGATAAAACATCTGTAGGACATTTACACAATGGAATACTATGCAGCTGTAAAAAAGAGGGATCTCTTTCTTACCCTTTGGGACAGCATGCATGGACCTGAAAAATGTTATGCTAAGTTAAATAAGCCAATCGGAGAAAGACAAATATAACATGATCTCATTTATTTGTGGAATCTAATGAGCAGAATGAATTGATCAACAAAATAAGACCTGAAGCATGGAGGCATGGAACAGACTGACATACCTTGATGTGGGGTTGGGGGGATGAGAAGAGATAAACCAAAGAACTTATATACTTATAGGCATAGTCCATGTACATGGGCAATAGGGTAGTGAAGACATGGGATGGGTAGAGGCTGGGAGGAAAAGAGGAGATATCTGTAATACCATCAACAATAAAAAGTTTATTTAAAAAACAAAAACATAGAAACCCACACCCAAAACCTATATGTTCATGTTTACCAATGTTACCCCAATAAATTTAATTTAAAAAGGGAAAAGAAATCTTAAAATGAAAGAAACATAGAGCGAGCTCTGTGAGAGAGTAAGAGCCTAATTTAGATAAGAACCAATTAACAATCACAAGTGGCTAGATCACATTGACCATCTTCCAGCTAATATCCTATAGTACTTGTCTACTAACTCTATGCACTTAAACCATCACCCCCTTTCTTTCAGTACAGGTGAATTCAATCTTTCTCCTCTATCACAATAGCTTGCTGTTTTTCCTGACTTCTTGTCTAGGGATTGAGCAGATAGGTTTTTTTGGCTCTTCAAGGACAACTGCAGAGAAAAAAATCCTCTGGTTCCCAGATGGAGATTGTGCTTAGAAATGACTTTTTTTCAACCCCTTTTGCAATAGTTTTAAACAAAGTTGTTCTTCTGTTACACCTTTCTAGAGCTATTTTTTTCTTGACATATCTAACTTTTATCAGTTGGTATTAGAGCCCATGCAACTGGTACAAAAAACACTGTACTCTAATTATTGGTATTTCTGTGAGTGATTAGCTGTACTCTGTTTTTGACCAGGGACTGTCATGTGTTCTATAAGCACCCATGAAACTGTAAGAAAGCTAAGTTGTTAGCTTACAAGTTGGAAAAAATTATTAGACTCTTCACAGTTCTTGAAACTAGCAATCATATTTCAGCATTTCTTTCCACACTGAATATAACTCCTAGCTCTTCATATCCAATTTTAATAAGCCCTGCCATTCTGCTGGTTCTCTCATTAAGTTAAATGTGACGTTGACACATGCTCATTATCTATTTGTATGACAGTGAGGATTTCAACAATTTGAGAATTGTGCTCTTCCTATAGTGTTAATATGCCAATGTCCACCTATCATTTTCAATGACCTAGTTCAGATAATGGGACATTTTTTTAAAAGTGTATAACTGTTTAGTTGCCACAGCATGTGGTGAAAATTTAGTTCCACAATTCTTTCAGCCTATTCATTTGCAGTAGGCAAATTGGTATAAAATCTTTCACCATGCCTCATCTGTCTGCAAGTAGTGATCTCCTACTGCTTTCATTAAGCATTGCAGTCACACAATTATTCCTTTTATGCTAAGTGATCTACTCTATTTTCACTTATTGAAACATTTTGCCAAATGTCTCTTTGTGTGTGTGTGTGTTCCATGATGAGGCATGACAGTTACTGAGTGTCTACTCTGTACTGAGCTACTCATTGAGGAAATAGTAATGATTAAGAAAAGCCTCTGTTAATGGAATTTAAAAATATGTAGATGTTTACATCCTTAAGGAGTCGACAAATTTACTTAAAAATGCAAATGATGAACAAAATAATTCCAACATCTTTCCTTAATACAATATAGCTCATCTGGCAGAGTTTCTAGGTGGTGACATTGCTATAGAAAGTAACATATTCAGGATAGAAACATAAATTATTGTTTTGTTCAAAAGACATAAAAATGATACCAGTTCTGTACAATCTCTTTCAGAAAATAGAAATAGAGAAAATAATTCATAAAATTCTTTGAGCACAGTATTAGCTATCCTAAGATCAAAACCAGATAAAGGTATTATAAGAAACAAATCTATAAACCAGTATCTCTTATGACCACAAATGAAAAAACAAACAAAAACTTACCCTCAACAAAATATTAGAAACTCATTTCAATAATGTTTAAACTAAATTATATAGCACGACAAGGTGGGATTTATTTCAAGCATGCAAATCTGGTTCCATATGGAAGAAAAAAAAGATCAGTGTGATCCTTCACATCAACAGGATAAAGAAAATAAAGCATTGTTCACATTTATTTAGATAAAGCCCTTGACAAAATGCATCATTGATTTATGATACAAATGCTCCGCAAAGTAGGAATACAGGAGAACTTTCTCACCTTGATAAAGAACATCTTCAGAAATCCTACAGCTAATAAAGTTAAAAGTGAGTACTGAACACTTCCCCTTAATATCATGAACAACACATTCGTGTTCTCTCTTACCAATCCCTTTCAAATTTGTATTGGAAATCCTAGGTAGCATAATAAGACAAGAAACATATATAAAAGATATGCAGGTAGTAAAGTAAAAAAATAATACTGTCTTGGTTTGTAAATTGTATTACTGCCCAGGTAGTATATTCCAAAGGATCGTCATAAAAAGACCCAATGCTATCAAAGGTGTATAGCAAGGATATACATTATTTTATAAAGGTTGATTGTTTTGCTATATATCAGTGATGGATAATTAGAATTTTAAATAAAAATATTTGTAATATCAGAAATTAAATACTTATGTATAATTATAACAAATTATATACAAGGTATAATAAAGATGCATATCCAAAACTCTTTGAATGTAACAATTAGGAAACAACCTATTAAAAATGGGCCATAGAGCTGAGCAGACACCTGTCAAATAAAATCTTTATATATAAAAGCCCAAATGACCATTACAACTGGATGACCGGACAACCAGCCAGTAGCTATGATGCTTACTGACAACCAGGGGGGCAGACACTCAACGCAGGATCAGCCACCTGGTGGTCAGTGCGCTCCCACAGCCAACCTCCTGTGGCTGGCCAATCTCCCGCAGTCCCTCCCCCTGGGTGGCCGGCCTCGCTAAGCTCTGATCACCGGCCAGGTCGAGGGACCCCACCCATGCATGAATTCGTGCACTGGACCTCTAGTGTACAGATAAAAAGCAAAGGTGCTTTTTATTACTGAAAAGATGCTCAACATTGCTCATTACTGGATAACTGCAAATTTATACAGCAAAAAATACCACAACACAACTATTACAATGGCTTTTTAATCAAATGACAATACCAATTATTGGTGAGGATGTGGAGTAATACAAATTATCATCCATTAGTGGTGAAAATATTGTAAAACTATCCAATTTAAAATAAAATTTGGAAATTTCTTACAAAGTAAAACTTGTCTTACCATGCGACCCAGCATTGTGCTTCTAAGTATTTATACAACTCGTTTCAAAACTTGCATTCACATAGAATTTGCACAGAGATGTTTAAAGCAAGTTTTTTCATATTTCTCAAAACTGAAATCAGGAAAAATATCCTCAGTAGCTGAATAAATAAACTGGTACATGCATATAATATTTTTCAGTGATAAAAAAAATAAGCTTTCAATTCATGAAAAAATGTGGAGGAATCTAGAAGCATATTGCTAAATAAAAGAAGCAGCCTGAAAAGTCTATATACTGTATAACTCCAATTGCATTATATTTGGAAAAAAAAAACTAGAGAAACAGACCAGAAGTTTCCCAAGATGTGGAAGTAGGGCCTCCCCCAAGAGAAGTAGGAATGAATAAGTGAAGTACCGGAAATATTTAGGATGATGAAAATATTATATACAATAATGTAATAGTGGATACATTATATTATGTATTTTACAAAATCAATACAACTTTACAGTAAAAAGAACACCATATGCAAGTTTAAATGAAAGTCATTTAGGAGAGAAGGGAATTTCAGGAAGAAGAACTACTAGTAACTGTGATGCGAGAATTCAACTGTATTTTAAATGCATGAAGCTACAACAGTAAGGGCAGTACAGAAAAGGTGCTAATCTAATTTGGAAAATGAGTGAATACTATAAGATTGAAGGCAAAAGAAAATGCACGTAAGTATTATAAACTAGTCAATAAAGTTGCTTCCTTTGTTGGGTGTGTGTTAACAATTCTGATGCTGCTATCCATGTATGTGGGAATTGAACAATTAAATAAATGCCAGATGGAGGGAATATCTTTTCTCACTTTTGAAATGAGGACTTACAGATCCTAAGGGAAAGAGGCTAGAATGATCATTTTTTAATGGATTAGAAGTGAAAACATTAATAAAATAAAATTTTCTTAAAATAGATGGTTATATACAGAAATGTTTATGTATATTTATTTATATACAAGTTAGTATACATATATTTATTTGTCTATTAGATAAGATGGCCTTAAATGAGCTACCCTTAGCAATGTGCATACCTAGAGTCCAGATGTTGACTTCTAATACCATTCTCCAATAAAGGAAACCGGGATTCCTAAGAAAAATCACTGATTGTAAGGCTGAGGAAGGAAGTATACAAGATGAGTCTGGAGAAATTTGTAATGCCAGAAAGTAGTTTTAAGTCTTAAATGTAAAATAAACAAACAAAAACCTACATTGAGAGAAATATGCCAAAAGGATACATTAGCCAAATGAGAGTTCTAATGGCCAAATACGGAACCATTTGGGAAATAAAGTAGTATTGCATTTTAAACCAAAGCATAACTGAAAAATCCAAGTATCCATGGTCATACAAGTATAAGACTAAATAAATAATTACAGAAGAAGCTCTAGCCTATTTGGATCATTAGATAGAACTTTGGCCTGTGAAGTGAAGGGTCCCGGGGTTCAATTCCAGTCAAGGGCACATGCTTAAGTTGCAGGTTTAATCCCCAGTAGGGGGCGTGCAGGAGGCAGCCAATCAATGATTCCCTCTCATTATTGATGTTTCCTTCTCTCTCTCCCTCTCTCTTCCTCTCTGAAATCAATAAAAACATGTTTAAAAAATAATAATTGTGGAAGAAAACACAAATATGTCACACAAAATAATTACAAATGCTTTATGTAGATATTCTTTCTTTTTTTAAATATATTTTTATTGATTTCAGAGAGGAAGGGAGAGGGAGCAAGAGAAGGAAACATCAATGATGAGAGGGAATCATTGATTGGCTGCCTCCTTCACACTCCCCACTGAGGATTGAGCCTCAACCAGGGAATGTGCCCAGACTGGTAATGGAACCTGACCTCCTGGTTTCATAGGTCCATGCTCAATCACTGAGCTACACTGGCCTGGGCTAAATATTCTTTCTTTAGAGAGATGGAACAAACTCCCAACTTCCTAAAAGTGGGCTGTGGACAGTCACTTCTCCCCAGAGAGTACTGTATGAAAAGAAGGAATAGAAAAGAAAATTCCACTACAAAGCAGTACCTCAGCCAAGTGATTAAGGTTTATTTTACCACTGATAATTCATATTTATAGTGTGTGCTCTTGATATGTTATGATGAGAATGCACTTTCCACTGTGGTCTTCCTCCCCAAAAGACATCAACCCAGATTAATAACAAGAAAAAGCAAAACAGATTTTAATAGAGGGACAATCTACAAAAGATTTGACCAGAACGCTCTAAAACTGTCAAGGTCATCAAAAACAAAAGAAGTCTGAAGAACTCTCACAGTGATGGGGAGCATAAGGATACTTCAAAGCTAAATTCACAGCATGGTATCCTAGATGGAATTCTGGAAGAGGAAAAAGACATCATGGAAAACTGAGGAAATATGAATAGAGTACGGATTTTAATGCAATATATAAATATTGGCCCATTAATTGTAAATTATGTATCTTACTAATATAAGATGTTAGTAATAGGGGAAATAATTGGGCATAAGACATATGGGAATTCTCTGCCCTATTTTTTTGCATTTTTAAATAAATCTAAAACTGTTCTAAAAATAAAGTTTATTAAGGTTTTAAGGCATATGCATCAGAAGGTAGCATGGTTTAAAGGAGTATAAGAAAATATTAAAGAAACTATATATATATGCCTAAGTGACCGTTATGATGGAACGATCGGAATGACCAATCACTATGATGTGCACTGACCACCAGCGGGCAAATGCTCAATGCAGGAGCTGCCCCCAGACCACAGGCCCTGGTCATCTGATCAGGCCCAGACCCTGGGCTGGGATGGGGAACCAGTGGTAGGTGACGGTGGATGTGGGTGGTGAGGGAAGGAGGAGGGGTGTCAGTAAGCAGGGAACCTGATCGGCCCTGATCTCTGGCCAGTCATAGGGACCCCACCTGTGCATGAATTTCGTGCACCGGGCCTCTAGTATAGATATATAAGTTTTCTTTAGGACTAGAAAATGTTATTCGCTTGCCTGGGTGGAGCTAGAGAAGGACAATTATGTGTATAATGGACTATTACCCTGCTTTCCAAGCAAGACTTGTAGACTTGTGATCCAAATGATTACCTTCTCAGAGAACATAACATATTACAATATATTAATACATTCCCAGTTAAAACAATAGTTCACAAATCAAGGAAGGGAGTTATAATTCTTAAGTGACAAGTAAGTTATCCAAAGAAGTAATTATTTGTGATACAATGAAATTGAGTTGCAAACAGAATTATATTTCTAAAACCTCTGAGTTTTGAAACTGAAATTATAAATCATGATAAAGGGGTCTGATGAAATCTGATATAAGGTACTTGACATTTCCTTTAAATTACCCTTGTATTCATAAATAAAACATTAATATTTTTGCTGAATTTCTAGGGTTCTCAGATAGTTTTTCTAGGTCATTTTTTAAAATTTATTTTTATTGCCAATGCTATTACAGATGTCCCATGTCTCCCCACTTCTCCCTCTGAAGACTCCAACCCCACCTCCAACCTTCACTGAACTATTGTTTGTGTCCAGGGGCTATGCATATTTGCATATAAGTTCTTTGGCTAATCTCTTTAAATCCCCTTACCTCTGAGATCTGTCAAGCTGTTGCATGCTAGGTAATTTTAAAGTTAGATATTGCATGTTTTTATTCTATTCAATTTTACATTTTAAATCTTAATTGCTTTCAATACTATGTGGCAAAATAGTTTTTCAAATTGTTTTATTATATACAGGTGGGGCAAAACTAGGTTTACAGTTGTATGTGAAACACAGTTTAGTTCTGTATTATTACTTATAAATTATTGCATTATTTTCATAGGAAAAACTATAAACCTTCTTTTGTCCCACTTTGTGTTTAAATTAAAGTTATCAGACATAGACTTTTTTTTCTATTTTTAGGTATAGCCTTGCCATTTTTATTAGTACTTTTAGTCCACATAAATAATAATCATCTATTTTTTGTTTTGTTTTTTCAGAGAGAGCAAGAAACATTGATTGGCTGCCTCCAGTACATGGCCAAACCATCAATAGAAATGGCAACCTGGGTATGTGCCCTGACCCTGACTGGGAATCTTTCCACATACAGGACAATGCACCAATCAACTGAGCGACACAGGCCAGGGTATGATCTTTTAGTTTTTCAGTTACAACAAGAAAAACACTGACAAGAAAGAAATTAGCAAAGGGCAGAAATTATAAGACTAATGGATTAGCCAGTAACCCAGTAATATAGAAAATTTGATAAATAATGATTAAAATTTTAATAAACAAAAAATTTTATATCATTAAATCTAATAATTAGGAAATACATTTTAAAATGACTAGGGCTTCTTCACTGAAAACTACACAACATCACTAACATATATTAATGAAGACCTAAGAATAATTATGAAAATGAATATAAGTTTGACTACCAGATATCAATATCTGTAATCAAACTAAATTAATTAAAATCATATGATATTGTTGTGAGTTGACATATACAACAGAAGAGAAATTAAAAAGCATGCTTCTTTATAAATATCCACCTGTTTAAGGAAAATGTAATAATATCAAGGAGGAAATAATGTTCTCCCTATATGGTAGCAATACAAATGTATGTTTATGTAAAATAAATTAATATATATATAAATAAATACCTTAACCCTTAGTGTTACACCATATACATAAAATGTCAGAAAATTGAAATTGAGAAGAATAAAAAAAGAGTATATAAGATATCTTGATTACCTTTGAATATACAGAGATTTCTTATCTAGGACAAAAAATGCACTACCCATAAAAAAATAAGAAACTGTAAATATACCATTTTCAAACTGAGAACTTTGGTTCACAAAAGATAATAAGAGAGTAAAAAAGTTATTGAAACAATGTAAAGTGTTGCTGGCTATCTATAATAATAATAAAAGCATAATATATTAATTAGACCAGATAGCCAAATGACCTTTCAGACGTTATTCCTGATGGCGTTCTGGATGAAGCTGCCGTGGCAGGGGCTGAGGCAGAGGCAGTTAGGGGCAATTAGGCAGGCAGGCAAGCAGTTAGGGATGATCAGGCAGGCAGGAGAGCAGTTAGGGGCAATCAGGCAGGCAGGCGAGTGGTTAGGGGAGATCAGGCAGGCAGGCAAGTAATTAGGGGCGATCAGGCAGGCAGGCAGGTGGTTAGGGGCAATCAGGCAGTCAGGCAAGCTGTTAGGAGCCAGTGGCCCCAGATTGTGAGAGAGATGTCCAACTGCCAGGGATTGAGCCTAAACCAGCAGTCGGACATCCCCCGAGGGGTCCCGGATTTCACGAGGGTGCAGGCCAGGCTGAGGGACCACCCCTTGCATGAATTTGTGCACTGGGCCTCTAGTACATATATATAATAAAGTATTACTATCCACAAGGTATAATAAC